ACCCCTATATAGTTCTTATATAATGCACCCTATAGTTCTAGGGGATCTAATTTTTAGATCCTTTTGGGGGTCCGGGTATTTCTACCCATTATGGTAACTTCATATTTGTTCCTTAACAGCCACCCAGATAAGGATTTCGTCCTTAGAGTTGAATTCGTCCAACATGTGCGCGAGCGCGATCTGAAGGTGTGTGGGCACTGTGTGGAGCTGCGGATGGCTGTCTGGAAAGGGCCAAAAGCCTGCCGTAATCTGCTTCTTATGGATTGGAGGAGTTGCATCATGCATCCTAACTCAGTGTATGGGAGTTTCCAGTAATGGGGGGCCCAACATAGACCCCAATACATCGCAATCCTTACTATAGGGATCCTCAAAGATGGACCTCTAATTTCAGAAGCCCCTCATACAAGCTATGGACTGGAAAACGTAATGAGTCGATCTGTTACCACCAGTCTCGGCCCAAACTTCAGTGTCTGCTTGCTGTGGGTGGCATGGACACATGGCGGCGAGTGTGGAGCTGTCGACCCCTCTCGCAATGGAAGTTGACCAGGATCTTGTAGTACAGGTTTGGCTTTAAGAAGGCTTGTGGGGAGTGGGCCTTTGAGTGTGAACCGTTGTTAAGGGTCGCTCTCCTCCTTTTGATTCCTCAAGCCCGTAGTACGGGTGCATCCCGTTCCGAGCTCGATTGAGCATGGTGAAGGCCTCCAAAGGGAGAATTTGGGCTGAGACGTGCCCTCACCGGAATTCTGATCTGGCACTTTTGCCGAACTATTTGCTCGCAACCCTTCAGAGGGACCCCACAGAATCACTACTATTTCCGCATATCCCTTTTGTCCATAGGATACCCCAATTTCGAGCAAACTAAAAGTAAGCTGCAACCCTCTGACCCTTCACCCCTTCAAAGTTAAAGATGACCCCCCAAGTCCGGAAACACCCCTCTTTTATAGGGTTCTGACAACCCCATAGCCTTGTATGAGATGACAGGAGGCCTCAGAGACTTTTGTGCTGGCTATGGGCAACAACTCCGACGGACAGTTAGGTGGGGCTGCTGGTGCTTTCGGTGTTGTTGCTGCATCTTTCTCAATGCCAGCATGACAAATATTTTGACATTTTCGCGATGTAGGCGATGATCTTAGTTTTAGGAAATTCCCAAGCCCTTCCCCTGTCCTCACTTGATCAACTGAATCTCGTTAGGCAAGTGGCTTTTATGAGGTTCCCTCTAATGGGGGGTTCGGATTATAAAACCCCCTCCCCCCCCCCAAACAAGTCCGGATCGGACTAAACGGGGGGTCCCCAATCGAGTACGGGAAAACTTGTTTGGGGGGGGGATCCCAGAGGAACCCATAAACCCTAAACTCTACGCCCTAAGCCCTCTGGCCTAA